GCTGAGTACATAGCTGCCGCCGAGGCAGCTAAAGAAGCTGTTTGGATCAAGAAGTTCATTACTGAACTTGGAGTGGTTCCTAGTATTAATGACCCTATCTCATTGTTTTGCGACAACACTGGGGCCATTGCACAGGCAAAGGAACCGCGATCTCACCAGAAAACCAAACACATTGTACGACGCTATCAGATCATACGAGAAATCGTAGATAGAGGAGATGTGATGATTTGGAAAGTAGATACTGACGACAACATAGTCGATCCCTTGACCAAGCCTTTAGGAAAGCTAAAGCATGAGGGTCACACAAGGTCCATAGGAATTCGACCGATGCCAGATTGGCCATAGTGCAAGTGGGAGATTGTTGGAGTTGTGCCCTGATGGCCAACTGTTTATCGTTATTCTATCATAAATAGGCAGATATAATATGTTTACACATCTCATGATGTAAATAAATATTATATTCCTAGATTTATATTTAAAGATGTTAATCAGATAGTGTTATTCTGCTGATGAGACTAACATCTTGAAATAAATATTTATCTAAATGTCCATAGTCGAGTATTAACGAGAGTGGGATATCGTTAATGCATGTGAGACTAGTGTGTGTTGGATGTTTGACTTAGTCTCATGGTCAATGACGGTGTGTTCGCATCCGCACATGGGCATATATTATCTAGAGATAATAGGATGCCGGACTGACCCATCCTAAAGATGTTGCTTGAACTTTTAGTTCATGCTCTAAGCATCTTTAGCGCGACCACGGGTGTAACTATCCTTCGACTTGAAGTATTAAGTTTTCTGCATATGTGAACCCGCATACTTTGATGCATTGTCCTAAGCCATATGAAATAAGGATGGTATACAGGCTTTGTTTTGGGTATGCCGCAGCGCGTATTCAGAAACGTAGATTACGTACATAGGATTTGTCACTACTTTTTTAAAGATATTAATGTCTTATGGGGCCCACTGATAAGTTATGATTGGGGTAATTGCATGGCCATGCTGAGATGTTTTTATGACGTCTGTTCCTATCAGTCAGACTTGATAAATCAGTGAATGACTTAATGGATACAAGCTGGATTTTATTAATCCCTTGCATTAAGTTTAGACATTGAGACAAAGGGATACAGTTACATGGAGTCTGAGTCGTGGAAAGGTTTTGACGGTGCAAACGTCTTAACTTATAATCTGGGGGCAATAATGTGTTGCTAGATACCGCTTATTGCTTATAGTATTGGTGCAGAGCGAATACTGTGGCCAGCTTTATAAGTGCCTATACGGGTCACACACTTTGGACAATTTAAAGAGTAGGATTAAACAATGGGATAATAAGTAATTTGTATATTTGTAAAAAAATAGTAAAATAAAATATTTTGGAATATAATATATATATATATATATATATATATATATATATAAATATTCGGTTATATATATTATATATATGTGTCGATTAATATATATATATATATATATATATATATATATATATATATATATATATATATATATTATATGTTGAATATTTTATTTTGATTTGTCATTTTAATTATGAAAATAATTATTTTGACATAAACTATTTAAAGTATATTTGTATACTTGTTTAAAATGATATTGGTATTTTTATTTGATTTAAATTTAATTTTATATTAATTTTTGGTGTCAAATAAAATACACTTTGAACATTTTAGTGGAGAAGAATTTCAAATATCCTTCTCACAATCAAACATTTCGGCCAAAGTGATTTAAAAGATCACAAAATCAATCTTTGAAAAAGTTTATTAATTAGTTTAACTTTTAGCTTAATGACAAGAGTTTGATTAATCTTTTGTTTTAAATTACACGGCTATTACATTATAATGGTGAAGATTATCAATTCCTTTGGGTGAGTTTTTCGGCCATTATATTTTAGTGAGAGAAAATATTTTGTGTTCCATTAATATCATTTTTGTGTATAGAAAATATCTATAATATTTTCTAAATATTATTAGAAATATTTTCTAAATATTATTAAATATATTTTCTATAGAAATATACAAGATTATTATTATCCCAATTTTAATCTTTATATTTTATACTACTATAATCTTTACTAGCATTAAGATTGTGGTGGACTCCGGCGTTGTTCGTGTGTCAAAGTTGGAGACCGGACGCTTGAACGGTTACGTTTGCACTTTCAACGCTCTTCCTACGACTTCTTCGTTTTTACCGCTTACGGAGAAAGGTATGAATTCTTACTTACTATAAGTTTTAGTACGTGATTCTGGGCAAGATAATCATGTTAGGATGTTAAAATTTTTGTATTCCGCTGCCTATCCTTGCATGGTTACCTTTCAGATTTGTACCCTTATGTCTGTCCTATGAGAGAAAAATGGTGTGCTTATTATTTGTACATTCCTGATATTTATAAAATAGGTATTATTTGTGATCCACGCTTTAAGATTGAAAATTTTAAAATTCTAATTGACTATTACTACACTTGTTTTTTGGATGAAAATAGTTATTACTACACCCTTTTAATAGACTGGAAAAACGAAAGAGATAATGCTATAACTCTTTTTGAGAATTTGTTTAAGGAATATCAAGGGGTATACGGTAATGTACCAGAAGAAACAGCACCTCCTCCGCCCCCCAAATTAAAAAAAGGTTTTAAAGGAATAGTCGGTGGGCTTTTTGCAAAGAAAGGGAAGCGTGCTCAGCCTTCTGGGAGTTCAAGTGGTACACCAGTAAGCTCGCACAACGAACTTGCTATGTACCAAGGGGTGCCATGTGATTACGACGAAGACGACGTGGAGTTTGACGTCCTCGGATGGTGGAAGCGGAACGAACACATGTTCCCATGTCTCGCAATGCTAGCAAAACAAGTGTTGTCCGTCCCAGTATCAACCGTAGCAGTTGAACGAGAATTCAGTGCTGGCGGCAACATTCTAACCGACTACCGAAGTTGTCTTAACGCTGAATCTCTTGAAACACTTGTTTGCAACCAAGATTGGCTCTTGGCAAGACGTCGAGCTCAAGAGTCATCGTACCAACTCGATTCGGAGCATTACATGAATGTAACTACAAATGGAAGTTTGAGTTCTGAAGAATAAGTTATAAACTTTTTTTATGTTAATGTAAATATTTAATTAGTTTTTTAGGTGAGCGATATATAAGCTCCTTCGAGGGTTTCTTTACAGTTCTTTACCTCGTCGCTTTTTTTGAACTATCAGGATATTAAATGTAGTTGTTCTTCATTTCGTGTATTACTCATTTTACAATATTTAAATAACAACTACATTTTTAGATTTTTTTCGTTCTTTCCTTAAACAATTGCAAATTTACAATTTTACGCTTTTAAAATTTTTAAAAAAACAAAAAAAGGGGGGGGGGCGAAACCGGCCGGTCCGGGAACCGGAACCAGTACCGACCGGTCCGGTCACGGTGCCGGTGCCATGGCGTGGCGGTACCGGAACCGTACCGTGTCCACCCTTAATCATGGTATAGCTTTTAAATTTTAAATAACAAGGGCTGTGAATATAATAGCTCAAAATTTAAAAAGTGTATTTAAAAAAACCCCTCTTGTAAAAGAATACTTACTCTAATCATATACACACACACACACACACACACACACACACACACACACACATACGGGATTGACTCCAGTGAGAAGACACCTTACGGTGCGATGACATGCTTCGGTCAGATGACGCAAAGCTCACCACTGCCCACTGCAAAGCTAACCAAACACAACTACAAAGCTCACCAAACTCTAAGGCAAAGCTCACCATATTTTTTTCATTACTTTGAATTTTTTTTGAAAAAATAAAATCAAAAGAAGGGGTGCTGATTAGACTTTGACCGTTGACTCCAGCATTGACCGCAGCCTGCCGCCGCCAGTCACCGGCCATCGCCGCCGGTCACCACCGCCGCCATACTCCGGTCGCCGGCCGCCGCCGGTCACCGCCGCTGCTCCTCCGCCTGCGGCCGCCGTTGACCGGCGGTGGTTGACCGGTATTGCTATTTTATTTTTAATTAATTTTTTAATTTTCAAAATTAAAAAAAAGTGAGTTTTGGGGTTCAAAGTGGTGAGCTTTGCTTTATTTCCAGGTGAGCTTTGCATTGTCCATTGGTGAGCTTTGTAGTGTAGTGTGATGAGCTTTGCGTCATCTGATCGAAGCATGTCATCGCATCGTAAGGTGTTATCTCACTGAGTCAATCCCTATATATATATATATATATATATATATATATATATATATATATATATATATATAAAGTTGAGCGGATTAATTGTGGTTACGACATGTTTATCCAAATAATATTATCAAATCTCAAAAAATGAGAGTTGAAGTAAATGAATTAGGAGTAGTTCTAAATTTTCCAATAGAGGATTTAGCATGACTAATTTAATACAAAGTGAATTACTTTTTTTATTCATTTTTAATTTTATCTTTTACATAGAATATCACTTTTGTAGATAGAATTCATACTATCTCCGTACTAGAGTATTTGTCCAGTTTGACTTTTTCGAGTCAAACTAGACAAAGTTTGAACTTCAATTAAATAAAAACCGTAAAGTATTTTGCTATACTGTATACCCTATCATATTTTTTGTGCAGATTGAGCCGGGGGTCTCTTGGAAACAGCCTCCCTGCTTCCAAGTAGGGGCAAGGTCTGCGTACACACACCCTCCCCAGACCCTACTGTAGTGGGTTGTTGTTGTTGAAAGTATTTTAATATAAAAATGACTTGATTGGATTTATCGTATTGAGAACTTTCAAAATTATATTTCATTATGCTAATATGTAATACAAACTCAGAGCAATTGGAGTTCAAAATTTATCCATTTTGACTCGAAAAATTCAAATTTGACAAATATTTTGGTACGGAGTAATATAACATTTTCATAATTTGAATCCGCTTTTTAAAAAGCTAACGCTTATGAAACTTTAATGCAAAAAGTGCATTTGCTCCGGTTCCGGTCTATAAAGCCGCGGAATAGAAGACGTGTACCGCTAAACACCTAAATACACACACACATAAACGCACACGGCAAAATTTTCCGTCTCTTCTTCCTTTCTCCACAGACCACTGAGCTTCTCATCTTCTACAAAGTCAAGAAAACAGGTGAAAAAAAAGGAGTGTGACGCCTGGGAAAAGAAAACAACATGCTTTCTTGCAAACCAATCTTCTCTAAACAACCCTCTTCTCTGTTCTTCACATCTATAGTCATCTTATTTATTTTATCTACACTTGGTGAAGCTTCTGTATTTGATTACATTGAATCCTCCTCCCCTTTCATCCCAGGCATGTATGTTGTTTTAGTGAATTTAATCATACTATATATTCGGATTCATATACATTAAATATAATATATTTTTCTTGTATCTGTTTGGATGAGATGCTCATTATTGATTAGAACAATGTTCATCCCTTTTGATCTTGTGATGTTTGTGTTTTTTTTATTCCACTCATTTTTCTGGAGTGTAAAGAATGCTCATGTTCAAATGTTTCATGTTTGATTTATAATATACACTATTGTATGTTTTATGTTGTTAGAGATTGAGGGTATTTCTCACTCTTTTTAGTGATTGATTCTCGGGTTTTTTGTAGCTTCTGTGTTTGATAGAAGGAATTTTGTTTGGTTCGACTGCAATTTTGATGCATGATTTTCAGCTTATCATAGAGACAAAAGCTCAATTCTCAAGCTGAGAAGATTTCTGAATTGCTTTTGAATTTTGGGTTCAAGATAATGATCCAATTTTCCAAAATCTAAGACAATCCTATTTTTTTGTTAATTTATCCTGCATTAGGAAATTCTTTATATGAGAGATGAAGTTTGATCTTATTGTCTAGATTTTAAGGTCATCATAATGTTTTTATTATGAAGCCATTTCTTCTTTGGAGTAATTTCCTTGCCCCATTTTTTTGATTTACTTTCTTCTTATCAAGAGTGTATTAGTGAGTTATAGATGAAAATGAGTGTTTGATGATGAGATTAGGTGAGTTTGATTTGAGCAAAAATGGAGCCGTTTCAAGGGAAAGCGAAAGAAGTACCATAAGGAATGGCCACAATGGTGGTGGGAGTGGGAGTTCTTCATCCTTAGTACTTGCTGCAGACAGAACACACAGAAAAGATCCGTCTGACAACTTAAACTACTATACCGGTGGATGGAATATCAGCAATGAGCATTACATCTATGTAAGTACCACCTTATGGGGCATTTGTTTTAGAGGTCATGGTTAGGTTGAGCTGATCAAATGAATGAAAACTATATTGAATTTTTTATCAAGAACTCCAACAATCATTAATGAGTCTTAATGCTTTGTGTGTTTTTTTTACAGTCTGTGGCATTCACCGGTGCTCCGCTTTTCTTCATTGCCGCGGTTTGGTTTTTGGGGTTTGGCCTTACATTACTATTGATTTGTCTTTGTTGCTGCTGTTGTCGAAGAAATCCCAATGGTTACTCTCTGAGTGCTTACGTGCTTTCACTTATCCTTCTCTCCTTATTTACCATCGCTGCAATGTAAGGGCTAGCTTCTTCCTATATTTCCTCGAAATTTTTATTTACCATTGCTGTATTGTTTCATTTTTTTTAATTATATAACCTATCTGGTTCTTAATGTGCTGCTTTGTTCAGCATTGGTTCCGCGGTTCTGTATGCAGGACAAGACAGGTTTCACAGTAGTACAAAGGGCACACTAGACTTTGTTTTGGCGCAAGCAGATTCAACCGTAAACAAGCTGAGAAATGTGTCGACCGTTCTGGCTATGGCCAAAAGCACGGGCGTTGCTCAAATATTTCTACCCAGAAATGTTCAAAGCGACATTGATAAGGTTGATAGGACCATCAATTCTTCTGCTGAAACTCTTGAAACGGAAACGAGGAAGAACAAGAAGGACATCCTACACGTTCTTGACCTTGTGTAAGTATTTCCTCTCATCCATGTCAGAACTGCAAAACACATGCTTGACTCACTCTAGTCGTATTCATACTTGGGAGTCCATTTTTAAAAAGTCAACAGAGGTAATTCTGATAGACAATACATGTCATTTTTCCAGGGGACAGATTCTCATAGTTTTAGCTGCTGTTATGCTTGCCTTGGCTGCTCTTGGTTTTCGTAAGCTCACTGTTTCTTGACCCCTTAATTTGTACTTAAACCAGCATCCTATATAATCATGTCTCACTTGATTCTTTTCAAATTTGGTTCAGTTTTTTCTCTCCTTGGCCTCCAGTCTCTTGTCTACATGTAAGCTTTATCACAAGCATGCATTTTCCTAATATTATTCACTCAATCTAAGAGGCATATTTTGGTGTGTGTGTGTGTGTGTATATATATATATATATATATATATATATGTATCTTAATCTTATTCATCCCCTTCTTGCAGTCTTGTTTTCACGGCATGGATTCTCATTGCTGCCACATTGATCTTGAGCGGGGTGTTTGTGCTCTTACATAAGTAAGTCCTCTTCAATTTTCGTATTTAGGAATCGTAGCTGTAGTAATCTTATCATGACTTAAGCCTTTTGAAGCTCACCAAAGACATGACCCTACATAGGGGTGTTTGAATAAAGTTTTTGGGTAAGCCTAGATCTTTCGAAAACAACTTCTTTGCACGGTCTAGGTACACATGTCCTCCCCAGACCCCATTTATGGGATCGTTCTATGTCCCCAAGCCCCATTATATTGTTGTTGTTATAGTCATTTTACCCTGAATTTCGACGAGAATTTCTTTGACTGTTCTCTTCTGTTTCCAGTGTGGTGGGAGACACGTGTGTTGCCATGGACGAATGGGCGAAAAATCCCAAGGCTCACACAGCATTGGACGATATTATTCCGTGTGTCGACCCTCAAGCTGCTCAAGACACACTGTCTCAGAGCAGAGAGGTAACATACGCAATGGTTTCAGTTGTTAATCGCATCATAAGCGACGTGTCCAATGTCAACATGCCATCCGTTTCGCCTCTTTGGTACAACCAATCTGGTCCCTTGGTGCCCAGTCTCTGCAATCCATACGACTCCGACAAGAGAGACCGAAAGTGTGTGACCGGGGAACTCAACTTTGAAAATGCAACCCAAGTTTGGAAAAATTACGTGTGTGAGGTTTCAGCAGACAACATGTGCAGCACGGTGGGGCGTTTAACGCCGGATTTGTACAGCCAGATGAAAGATGCCGTGAATGTGAGTGGGGGTTTGTACCAATACGGTCCGTTCCTAACTGATTTACTTGACTGCACGTTCCTTCGAGGCACATTTAACTCGATACACGACCACCATTGCCCAAACCTGTGTCGGTTCAGCAAGTGGGTCTACATTGGGTTGGCTCTGGTTTCTGCTGCGGTGTCCCTTTCGCTCATCTTCTGGGTGATCTATGCCAGAGAAAGGAAACACCGTAAGTATTACGCCAAACTTGAGGATGCCAGATCTGGGTCCGGTTCCCCATTCCCGGCGGGCAAATGATGTAAATAGTTTAATATGCAATAGGAGTCCTTATGAATTATATCATACTCAAGAAAAAGTCAGTGCAGTTTTGGTAGTATAAGAACAATGAGATCATAATGATTCCATGATCATTATTGGTGAAATTAAGTCCCATTTAGCGTGTCTACGTTGTCGAGCCTTTTGAAGGCAACGTTTACACCGAATATGGGAAAATTCCAACGCACTCGAATGCATTTACATTTTCCAGTTGTAACTTGCAAAACACATTTGACTTATTTTTGGAGAAAATAACTTTTTTTAGTATTGTTTACTCTAAATAAATCTTTCTAAGAGCATCTTCTTTAGAGTTTAAACTATTAACTTTTAGTTTCTTCCAATTTTTCAAGTTTTTTCCAAGTTTTTATAATTTCTTCTACTTTTTCCAACTATTCTCATTTTATTCAATCTTAGTCTACTTCTCAAATAATGATTCTAAGAATGATGTATTTTCATACATTATTATTACTATTATCATTATTACTCTTTTTTTTATTCTTGTTCTTCATGTTCTAATTATTACTCCCTCCGTCCTAAATTATAATGCATGTTCACTATTCACAGGGTCAAACTTCATTCATTTTCTTTCTCTATTTTCGTTAGCAATTTGATAAAATAAAGTATTATTGTCACTACCAGTTTTGTAGATCTTTTGATGTAGTTTTTTAATATGTAATTTTTATTTTTTAATTCTATACCATTTGTCATATAAAATGGTTTGAAAATAATTTCAGTCAAACATCGTAAACCGAAACAGGCGTTATAAAATAGGACGGAGGGAGTATTATTCTTATGGCAAGGATCTTTTGACCATGGTCTCAGGTAACCTTAAATGGCCTTGGCATTTTGGGACACGATTTGGCATTGCCAAATCGGCAATCTAGGGGGGCATAGGTGCTGGGGTGGGGGGCAGGCGGATGTATGGGAGTAGGAAATATCAATTTTATCAACGGAGCACCGTAGTGGCCGTCGGTCGTAATATGAACTTGAATTCCAAGGTTAAAAGAATCGTTGTGTTATTATTAATATTATAATTACTACATTCATAACTATAGTTTATTTTTCAATTTTAAATTTTTCCCATGTCATTTTTTTTGTAACTCACACTCATTATTATTTTTATTCCACTTTAATATAAATAATCCGAAGTAAAATTTTATTGGGAAAAATTACTTTTTTATTAATTTATATGACACTAAATGATGTTCTAAATATTAGGAATATTTTATTAATACGGAGTATAAATTTACTTGAGAAAAACATTAATATTTTAAATTAAAAAATAGTAATTATGCTACTTCCTCTATCTTTAATTAGATGGCATGTACACTATTCACGTGGTCGAGTTTTATTGCTTTCTTTATGAATTATATATGATTGTTATAATAATAACAACAATATTTACATAATAATATTAATAATAATAATAATTCCTCCATAACCGTTATAGAAAAATAAATAGTGTGGTTTTATTACACTATCAATAGAAAAGTAAAGAAAAATTTAAAAAACTTACCTATCAACCATTGATGAAACACCTGTCAAATTATGGTGGACCATCAGCGAGTCAGTCTAATGCATATGGACCGTCGATCAACGGTGGTCAACATCAATGATCACCGCCGGCACTCCAAGAACCCCATGGCAGCGAACAGTGGCCCTCTTACGACCCACTACGGCGTACAGCGATGTTCCGGCAACCAAAGAGTGGCAGATTGCAGCAACATATCACATTGTGGCGACGACATATAATAGTGTGGTGTCAGCATATAACAGCGGTTGACAATGACATTCTAGACTCTTGAGCATCTATACTCATTCCCCTCATTTTCCCCTTTCTCTTTCTTTGTTTTCATTCCACAGCACTTCCCCCTCTTAACTTTCCTCACATCACTTTAATAATTCTTCATTTTTTTCTTCTTTTTTAAATGATGGACCCTACATGTCATAAATTTATTTTATCCACATTTTTTTTATTATAATAAATCAAGATAATTTAATTGTGACACCCTAATCTATCCAGGTCTTTAGCCCCTTTCGGACTAAAGTATTAACTTAATAATCATAAAAATTGAAAACATTTTAAACATCTTTATTCATCATAAATAATATTCAATACATAACTATAAAAATACGGAGTGTTTAATTATGCGAAAACGAATTTAAAACATGTCTCAAAATATTCATAATTCATTATTTAAATCCACAAACCCATCACGACCATCTCGCCTCATCTGTCTCCAAGAACTCGTCACTTCATTCTTTTTGTTTACTTGAGTGTAGCAAATAAAATATACTACACGTTCAGCGATAAAGCTAGTAAGCATATCTAATGTGTCGAACATCCATATAAATTGAATCTCAATTCATAATCAACCATTTGATATCATGCACACAACATACAATTCAAGCATTTACCATTCATGATATTCACAATATTTTAATTGAAGTCATTTCATGATATATTCAATATTCAATATCTCAATATCTCAATAATGCTCTTATTCTTAATCTAAGGCCAAATCATTTTATTTTATAACAATCTCTTAGTTATTCCTAGTCTAAGTTAATATTTCTAACCGGGCTCTTAAACTATAAATAGTTTAAGGCTGAACACAGGAATCGATAATCCACCCTATGAGTCTTGTGGATTACGTACCAACCGAACAATGAACTGTCGGGTGGATGATATCCAGTTTGGATCCCGTACGTACGTTTTAACCCCACATTTTTGAATTGGTCACATAGGTATATCTTAGAGTTCTTCTAGATATCTTTAATAGTAATCAACAATTTCCAAATGGTATATCTTAGAGTTCATCTAGATACCCTTAACAATACACTCATTTTCATAATCATCAATATGTCCATTTCTAGTCATGACTTAATCATTCATAATTATTACATTAATCAGAATATTAAAGTTTGATCATCATAATCATCAATCAATAATATTTATCATAATCATCAATCAGAAATAGCGGTCTAGCGTCGAGTGTTAACACCCTAGTTTACCGTCATACATCAAACAAAGTTCTTGAATTTGTCAAAACTTCATTTTTACTTCCAGAAATCATATTCATATTGATCATAATTGATTGGTATCAAAAATAGAATTTAATAGTTCAAAAATCGAGTTTTTTGGAAAAATATCGAATCAGACGGTACCCCTTTCGGTACCGGTTAATCGTACATTGGTACTGTGCCGACGGTACACGGTACCACCAGACTTCAGGTACCGCCAGAGGAAGACGATTTTCTGGAGGAGACGGTAGCTAGCCTACCATGCCACCGGTACCAAGGTACCGTTTAGCTGGCTACCGTTCTGCGCGTAGTTTTGAACAATGTCATCTTCAACCTCGGGCCAATTTTGGAAATGTCATTTTTAGTCACCAAACTTCAATTAAGCTATATAGAAATGTTCTCCAAGGTTCATAGGTCATTTTGGTATCATTAATTCGTAGTTTTAACAACAATATCAAGGTTTATGATTTTTAGTTCTTCAAGCATGTCAAACACAAAACTCAACCAAACAATCGTTTATGAACGTAGACACGATCTATACGAACATTCTAGTCACTATATATATCTACGGGCTTACCTCGAAGCTTAACGAAGGTTTTGAGAAATTTTTGGCAAAACTTCTGGTGAGGTTTGTGACTAGCTTCGACGACTTCATGCCAAATTGACAGCACCACAACACTCCTCAAACTTAGAGCAACAGAATATGATGAAGAATAAGATGATTTGGTGAATAAATGGAATGGGTGAGTATTGCTTATATAGGAAGGTGATGGAGGAGAAGACACAAGATGCTGAGTTAGGAATCAATTAGCCGATCTTCACACGCCGTTCCCTGATTGGGAATAATTTCGGTCTGTAACACCCCAACCCGCGTAACCCGAACCGACGAGTTAGCGAGTCGGGTTGTCACCAATTTGGTATTCACATGCATAATATTTTAAAAACACTTAGAAATAAAACAAACATTTATATTTATTTAGAAACAATTTATCGTTTAATCGGAATAAATATCTAAAACGTTGCGGAAGCCTTCAAAAACAACATTCAACATTCTAGTAATTTAAGTAAACAAATTCAACAAACTATATTTAATTTAAATAAACAGCTTCGGTCATCCACCTGCGTCACGCTGCACTGTCCTCCAGGCTGCTCCTCATCAAATCCTTGATCCCTACCTGTAAAAATAGAGAGAGTGGAAGTATCTAACGCTAAAACTAACTCATAGACTAGCACCCGTCAATATATAATCAAACAATGCAAGAAGAACAAGCAAATACCATTATCCAACTGTACCACTATTTATCCTTAAAATTCAGTTTAGTTCTTACACATACTTACTCCATCTGCCTGCTAGATATAATCCAATTCATACTTACGGGAGTAATGGAATCCAGGCTCTCGCCCAAACCCACACTCGTAACTCCAAAGCTCTCGCAATGGAGGGGGTTGAGGCCCCCGCTGGCTCTCGCCAAGGGTCAATGACCACCGTGCGCATGTTTTTAACCCTCGAGAACACCAGGTGTACGACGTCACCTGCATGACCTTAGTTTCTAATCTTAACCCGATTTATGATTTCTAAAATCTAATTAAACTCAGATTCGCCTTGTACCACTAGGTGGCCTACTTCACACTTTTATTTCACAACATAACAATACACCAATAAGCTCACTAACATCTTACATACTAAGAACAACACTAACATACGCCTAACAGAAGAACAGATGCAAATCTAAATCACAAAGCACATAAATCAAGCAACACAACCGGACAATAAGGACTGCTAAATGCCCCAAAAGCAGTAACTTCCCTTCTCGTTTGGCAACAAGGTGGAACAGCAACACACCGCCACAGCAGTGGCAGTAGCAAGTCGGCACATATAGAGAGAAGAGACAAACAGAACAGAGAGAGAAGAGAGAGCATGATCGCAGAACACAAAGCAAGGGAGAAACAGAACAGAGCAGCAGCAGCAATGTATAAATTTTCCAAAATCAAATTCATATCCCAACTCAAATTAAATTCACACAATCAGTCGCATAATCACATTTACGAATTCAACCTCAATTGGATGAAAACATATTAATGAATCATAATCTATGAATTAATTCTAACAAGAGATAAATCACTCACCTCAACTAAATCGACAAACAATCACGAATTGATTAGCGTGGACGACCTCCGATAATGTCTCTGGCAAAGCCTTCAGCAGGTGCTCCCGCCGCAGAGTCTCTCGCGGAGCTGCTTCCGGTTCAATCGGCGTTAGGCGAATAGAGGGGGTAAAGGCGATGAAAACCCAATTGGCAGAATACTCCGTTCGTATATATATTAAGGCAATTGAGTTTGTTGGGCTTTTCCAATTTGTAAAAGTATTAGTACGTGTCAATATAATTAATATTATATTACTCTCTCTTTATAATGTTTACATATTTGTAACGTCATTTTGTAAATCCTAGAGGGAGTAGGAGCACATTTAATACTTTACATTTATTTTTCCATTTACTCCTCGTACGTTTGGCCCAATTGGAAAAGGAATAAAATTAGGCATATAATATTATTATATAATATTATATAATAAACATTTTTTTATATGTGTTTATTGAAGTATAACATCTGTTTTACTCACCACGTTTTACACGTATGTCAAAATTTAACAAATTATATACCGTTAGTCACCATTTTACGATATCTACCCAAAAATCTAACTTTTAATTAAAATGGTTAACTTTACAACTAATTCACATTTTGGAGTCGATAAATAGTATATTTATTCATTATTAAAATAATGGCTAACTACAAAGCCGGTTTTTTAGGGCGTTACACGGTCTCAGTCGGGGTACACTTTTTGGTCCAACTTTCTCCAAATTTAAATTTGATTGAATCATTGTGGTCAGACAGTCAAACTCTACATAATGATATAATTTTCATTATTTATTGACAAACTTTATAAATTACTTGTTTTTGGATCCTTCTCAGTAATTATTTAATTTTCAATTAATTAATTCTGATAAGCCTATTTTCGGGGCGTTACATTTCTCTCACCCTTAAAATAATTTCCTCCTCGAAATTACCTGAGTCATTAGTTGAAGAGATTCGGATAATTTTATTGAATAAGGAAACATATTAATGATGACATCAGAATGTTCCTCAACGTAGTCTTTCACAGCATACACACGTGCATAAGTTCATTTGTAGATTATTTCCTGCTGGTGCAAGTCGGGCTTATGTAGAATGACTTTGAACAAGGGCCATCGAAAATGGTTTTCCAGGGTTTGTAGGATATTCCTTTCGGAAATGCTCAGATTTACCACAACCTATACATAATCTTTGTGCCATCCAACATTCTCCTGAGTGGTGTCTTCTACAAATGTTACACTTCGAATGTTTCCACACCCTCAATTTGTGTTGAGTTGTCAGAGGCTTTCTTCTTTTCGAGTGTGGAGTACTACAGGTTCCAATAAAAGGTTTCTTTCCCTTAATAATTGGTTGGATACTTGAACTAGCATTCGATTGACCTTCAATATATATCAGTGAAAGGGTCTGGTTCATTTCCGACAACAAGAGTGAAGTTCGATTCAATATGAACAATCGTGTGTCCATTGTTTGGTACTTGGTTATCTTGTCCGTGAGCGGTTTCTTGACTCATTCTACAATTAATAGAAATTCCTTCATTAAGATTCTTTGTTTGAGTAGGCAAGTTAATTAACAGATATCACGAGGGTATACAATAGTTGCCATGGTTGTAAACAATTAAGAGAATTTTGGGAGAAACGATAGGGTTTATTAATTCTAAGCGTTTGCATTATGAGTCAATGATCGGATCGTGTTGAGTTCACACAAAGATATTCGGTATTGAATTCACATATGTTGTTCGAAACATCAACATTAATCGTTTCATCAGGGTCGTCTCACTTCCACGCGACCTTATGGTGCAGATCGGTCTTGTCATTCGTGATGCAATAAGCACGTTGGTAACGGATCAGAGAGTCATACATTTTTTGTTTATTCTTTTGTCTCTTGGCGAGTACAAAAGTTTGACTTGAGTCAACGCTCAATATAATTTCAGTACTAACAATCATCATCTAATGAGAATTTAAAATAGTCAATATTTACTAAGTAAATTCTCATTACCTTTCCTGGAGCAGAGGGATGCGAGAGTCGTAGATGCGATTGACAATATTTTTTTAAATCAAATTTTGATCCGAAGATCGGGTTTAAAACCATTCGCTCCGATACCAAATTGTAACACCATAATCCGTCCAAGTTTGCAGCCTCTTTCGGACTAAAGTATTAACTTGGTAATCATAAAAATTTAAAACATTTCCAAACACTTTTATTCATCGTAAGAATAATATTTTTCATAACATAAACAGTACGGAGTTTTCAATATTGTAGAAGTTTAACAAATCATAATCACCAACATAATTTATTTATGTTCTTCTATTCAAAGTCATCACATCCATTCTAACAATCACGTCTCTGTCTGCCTCCAGGATCACGTCACATCACTCTTTCTATTAACCTACGTGTAGCAAATATAACATAATACACGCTCAGCGTTGAAGCTGAGTAAGCATATCTAATGCGTCGAACATCCATATAAATTGAATCTCAATTCATAATCAAATCATTTGATATCAAGCACATAATGTTCAATTCAGGAATTCATCATTCATAATATTCACAATATTCAATTCAAGTCATTTATCATTCATGATATTCACAATATTCAATTCAAGTCATTTGATACATACAACATTGCATATTTAGTATTTCAATAGTGCTCTCAAACTATTCTTAATTTAAGTCACTAATTTTAACCAACTCTTAAACGAATTTTAGTTTAAGGTTTTTAAACTATATTCCAGTTTAAGGTACTCCTAACTAACCCTTACGCTAGTCCTAGTTTAAGATACAAGTTTTCAAAACAGGTATTCAAAATCTTAAACTTACCTTCGCTTAAGGTCAACCAGAAACCGAATAGCGGAATGATCACTGTCAAGTTGGGTGGTATCCCCAAACGAGTGATCCTCAAGTTTGGTTTGTAGATCCTGTACGTACGTTTTTACCCAGGCTGCCAAATATTCATAATTATACCCGCAAGGCCTATTTCTAAGCTATCTTAGAGGTCTTCTAGATAGTCTTAGAAACCAACGTCAACCTAGGTATATCTTAGAGTTCTTCTAGATATCCCTACAATCCAAATCATTTCATTATCATCAATGTATTCACTTTAAATCATAATTTAATCATCAATAATCATTTTAATCAGTGGGTTCATCAAATCATAATCATCATAATTATTATTCATCATAATCATCAATCAACATATAACATCCAATAGTAAACAACGGCCTAGCTTCGAGTGTTAACACCCTAGCTTACAGTAATGCATCACGTAATGTCCTTTTAGTTGTCAAAACATCATTTTTATTCTAAGAAATCATCTTTATATTAATCATAATTGATTGATATCAAAAATAAGATTTTTTGAGCTCAAAAATAACATTTTCTGAAATATTTTCGGAGCAAAATTTCGGGGGATCGATCCAGCATTGGATCGATCCATGTTAGAGGAGAATACACCCAGGGGATCGATCCACCCACTGGATCGATCCATCCTCTAAGTTTTTTAATCACTGTTCATCTTCTTCTTCGTTCGGGTCCAAATTCAAAAATATCATTTCTAGTTACCAAACATCAATTAAGTTATATAGAAATGTTTTCCAAGGTTCATGGATCATTTTAGTATCATTAATTCATAGTTTTAACAACAATTTTAAAGTTTATGATTCTTGGTTCTTCAAGTATGTCAAACACAAACTCAACCAAACGACCGTTTATGAGCGTAGAAACGATCTATACGAACATTATAGTCACTAGATATATCTACGGGCTTACCTCGAAACTTAACGAGGGTTTTGGAAATTTTCCGGCAAACTTCCGCCGAGGTTTACTCTTAGTTCCGGCAACTTCGCACCAAATTGATAGCACCACTGTACTCCTCACACTCTCAAGAATAGAATGATATTAAACTTATTGAGTTTTGGTGAAGAATGGAGAGAGTGAGGGTGGTTTATATAGGAGAGGAAATGAAGAAGAAGCCAAAGGTGATGTCTGCATTCCTGTTTAGGCGTCTCGGTGGAGCGGGCTGCCATATTTCTCCGATTCCAAACGCAAGTCCCTGATTGGGACTAATTTCAGTCCCAGTCGGTGTACACTTTTTGGTTTAACTTTCTCCAAATTGAAATCCGTTTTCACCGTTGGAATCAGACAGTTAAACTCTATCCGACGATATAATTTTTATATTGATTTGTAATCTTTTTTCCGACATCATATTTTTGGTTATTTGACTTTGAGAGAGTCAAAATTGATTTAATTGACTTTTACTCAAAAAGGGTTCTCGCATCTAATTCATATTATCTATTCTCATGATTTATTTTAATAATTTTTTCAAAGTTCACATTTTAGACAAATTCTTCATTTATTCTTAATTTGGGTATGTACTCAAGTTCCCAATCAAGATCACACAATAAGTCAACATATTGGATTTATCTCTATGAGACTTATCAAGATTGTGATATTGGATATCAAAACATATTTCGGCCCAAAGCCCAACAATAATGTATTTTTAATCAAAACAAATTTGATTAAGTGAATTATAATTTAATAAGTTTTCGAGTATGTTTTGGGGCGTTACAATTTCGAAATAGCCGCTAGAAATAGAGAGGTAGATCTTTGTTACATGACAAACAAGCTTGAGAGTATATTTGATGATTTTTTTCAGGGAGAGTGTCGGCGATTGGAGCGAGGATGCAAAGTTTCTTTTTTACTCCTTGTGAGCTGTTCTTAGCTTCTCTATCGCTTTCCATGCTATTGAACTCTAATAGAAAAACAAATAACTACAGCTTTATAAATCTTAAATCATATATACAATTTTTTAAAAGACAGAGAGAGGGATAATTGACGGTGGCTGTTAGGCATGCTCATAATTTTGGAGAGAAAGAGAAGAATAAGGGATGGCGTTGGTTAGGCACACATACTATTTTCTCAAAGAAGAAGATGTCCTTGGCTCCGATACCATGATGCAATTTAATAATAATTGGTATTACTGAATAAAGAAGAACACATCGCCATATATAAGGATTACAAAAGAGAACTCTAACCCTAGCAAAATAGAAATTATGCTAACATTATAATTAGTAAATAATAAAATAAGGAAGGTCATAAAAATAATTTTTTACTTTTTAATAGAAGTATTATTGTTAATGGTGGGAATAGTCTAACTCTCACTATGACTTTGCTCCCAATCACATTTTTGTTGGATCAACCATCTTAGAGGCACCTCAACGAATGTATCCCAAAGTGTTCACCAAAGCTATGTACTAATATTTCGATGGTTTACTTGACACAATATACTGGTGTGATAAAAAAATTGCACTAGCATTTTGTGCATGTGTGAACTATCATCCTAACAACACAATGACACAAAATGAAAGTGCATACTTGCGATGTACAATTTGGGGTACTAGTAGCTTAATTCTTGTTTGATATGTCATTAGAGGGAGGGATATCTCTCTGGCATGATTCGAATTCAGAAAAAAGGTGAAACGCCAACTCCGGGCGTTCCTACACCCCGACCTGACATGATAATGAGGGAGGTAAATAATGGTATAATCTTGATTTGGTCTTTAGAGAAGTCACTTCGTGTTTCGGGTGCGCACAAAAAGTTTTTTGGATAATTTACCTAAATAAAACTCAAACATAATGACTTTCTCAATATAGAACCATATGTTTTTATTTCTCAATGTAGGACCATTGGTCATTATTTATTAGTCATTATTCAACTAAATATCCAGCATCACTTGAACATTATTCTTCTCACTAGTCTTTATTAAGTCTTATTTAGGAATAAAAAAATTTAAGTCCTACATTGACAAATGACATATGTTTTAGTCTATACAAATTTCAAAAGTTTTTTTAATAAAGAATAGAACTATGTTTTCCCAGCAGCATCATTCCAATTCAAAAGTTCAAAGGAGAGAGTGTTTTAGTGTGGAGAGCCACCAAAACTTGTGAAGAGACCTTTTGTGTGATGGGATGCAAGACGCGTTTGTGGCCGCACAATTCTTTACAGCAAATGCTTAAAAAAAAGATTACGGAGCAAGACATAGCGTAGAGACGGTAGAGTAGACCATATGCACAAGTAATAAACCAAAACCGGTGTTGAATTGAAAGAAATCACGAGCATGGAGCCTCTCTTACCATCCTCTTTTTCTTCAAAAGTGAAGCGTTCTTAACTTCGAAATCGTCAATAAAATCAAACCCCAAAGAAAGCAGAGCTCTGAACCGCAAAATCAAGCAAAGATGGTGGCTCTCAAAGAAGGGAGCAGACCGCCATGGGTGGGCCTGGGAGCGGCTGTTTGGGTTCAAATAGCTGCAGGGAACGCCTACACCTTCCCTCTCTACTCTCCATCTCTGAAATCAGTTCTGGGTTTCAGTCAGCAGCAGCTCACCATTCTTGGAGTGGCCAATGACATTGGGGAAAATGTGGGGATTCTTCCAGGGATTGCCTGCAATAAGTTCCCTCCCTGGTCTGTCCTTCTCGTTGGAGTTGCTTGTGCTTTCTGTGGCTATGGTGTTCTTTGGCTTGCTGTTAGCCAGACTGTGCAGTCCTTGCCTTACTGGCTTGTGAGCATTTTTATTTTGATTTGCCTCTTTTCATCTCAAAGATTGGATCTTTTTTACATTTCTTGCCTGCCCTTTTTTAGGATTTGATGGTTATGCCTCTATTTCGCTTAAGTTGAGGATTTGGTTACCTAGGTTCTTTAGTTGCAATAGTAATCCGCCTTTTCCGCCTTGATTTGTCTGTGTTTTGGAATCTGCTCTCTTTGTTATATATTTTCAAGTTGATTTATGCTGTTCTTCTGGAAGTAGCGAATAATATGGCATCTTAATCTTATATCGTTGCTATAAATCTGCTGATACTGCACCTTGTTTGGGTTGATCATCTAAATTAGTTGCAGACATGCAAAGAAACGAAGAATACTAGGAAGCAAGAGTAATAAGTGTTTCTTTTATTTTGTGATTTGTGAATCCAAACATAATCTAGATTATGACACTGGTATTCTTTTTCAATACTCCGGAGTATATTGATTTGAACTCCCCTCTGCCAGTAATATGTAGGCAGATCGAGATCCAAGAGAACACTAAAAGGTGTCAAGATGCTTCTAAGTGACAATTATTAGGACATATCAAGGCCGGCAGCCAACAGTCCTTTAGGGACCGTNCTGTTAAGAACATAAGCCCAAGTGATAGTAGAGACAGCTTTGCCCGAGAATCACACTCTTTGCCACCCCTTCCATGCAACAAACCTTCAGGGATCATACCCTCATCCCGATAGCAGTACTCTGTGTCTCATATTTAACTATGCAGTTATTAGTCATTTGTCAACTCAACCTGTTCATTCTCCAATTGTTTCCATTAAACAATTTGCTTATACAACTGGATTTGGTTTTTGCTTATACTAGAGAAGGAAATTCATTGTTTGAGATGCCGTTTGGCAAGGCTTAAAATGGCTGCGATTGTGGCTTACTGCAATGTAATGGATGAATGAGCTGAATTATTCAAAACACGTATTTATAGCTTTATATTTTGAAAATCAAACGAAGTATTCCCTTTGTCCCATAAAAATCTTCCTAGTTTCACTTTTACGAAATTTAAAAGAAGTGTTGAAAAGTGAAAAGTATGTCGTGCCGAAATTCATTGTTCTGATCCGGATTCTCCCACACATTGACAGTTATGGGTTGCACTGTGTGTTGCTACAAACAGTAGCGCGTGGCTCGGGACAGCTGTGCTTGTTACCAACATGAGGAACTTTCCTCTCAGCAGGGGCACTGTTGCTGGGATACTCAAAGGCTACATCGGTATAAGTGCTCAAGTTCTCACTGAGGTATTCACTATGGTTCTTGACCAGTCGGCGTCCAAGTTACTGCTTTTCCTAACATCGGGAATTCCCATTCTCTGTTTGTTGATGATGTATTTCGTTCGTCGCTGCACACCGGCATCTGGGGAGGATTCTCCAGAACGTTTTCACTTTCTTTTCACACAAGCGTCGAGTGTCTTTCTTTCCATATATCTTCTAGCCACCACATATTTGAAGGACACGGTCTCTCTCAGTCGTGGTATCAGCTATGCATTAATTGCCATTATGGTCATTCTCTTGATGTCCCCTCTTGCAATTCCATTGAAAATGACATTATTCCCAATGAGGCGTAAGAACACGGCCCAAGTTGAAGTAAAAGAAGGTGATTCTGGCCAAACAACTCCTTTATTATTAACACCATCTTCTTCATCGGCATACCTTGGTAGCTTCCGCGAAGGTGAAGAAACGTCAGACACTGAAATCTTGCTTGCTTTGGGGGAGGGTGCTGTGAAACCTAAAAGAAAACCCCATCGAGGAGATGATTTCAGGTTCCGTGAAGCTGTTATAAAGGCCGATTTCTGGCTCCTTTGGTTTGCGTATTTCCTCGGGGTCGGTTCTGGAGTTACCGTCCTTAACAATTTGGCACAGATTGGAGTTTCACTTGGTGTCGATGATACAACGACATTGCTGAGCTTGTTTAGCTTTTGTAATTTCTTGGGTCGTCTTGGTTCTGGTGCAGTATCTGAGCATTTTGTGAGGTAATCCTAATTCCCTGCATGTTTTTTTTCCTCAAAATTTGCATCATATGTTTTCTCATCAAAAATGAAGAAAAACACCTGAAAATAAAATAAAGTACTCCCTTCATTCCATATTAATTGTCCATTAAGACTTTCTTGGTACATCGAAAAATGAATGAATGTAGACATGATGTGTGTCTGCATTCATTCATTCTTCAATGTACCAAGAAAGTCATAATGAACAGTTAATATGGAATTGAGGGAGTACGGTCATTGTAATCGACTTCAACAACAAAAACAGTGCCTCCTGCCTTTTCTTTATTATTAACCAATTCCGCATCCACTAAATGATTGTGTGTCTTTGCAGGTCAAGAACGATTCCCCGTACATTTTGGATGATAGTGACCCAAACGGTAATGATCATAACATTTCTCCTATACGCATCAGCTCTTCGGGGGACACTATACCCTGCTACCGCATTGCTTGGGATTTGCTTCGGGGTTCAGTTTGGCATTATGATCCCAACCGCTTCTGAGCTTTTCGGGTTGAGACATTTTGGGGTCATCTTCAACTTCATGCAGCTGGGGAACCCCATAGGCGCGCTTCTCTTCTCTGGTGCGCTCGCTGGCTATGTGTATGATACAGAGGCTGCCGCTCAACATGTTGCCCATTGTATGGGTCCGAATTGCTTCCGGCTCACATTCCTAGTTTTAGCCGGAGTTTGTGCTCTGGGCTCTGTCTTAAGTGTCATTCTCACAGTAAGAATCAGACCGGTGTATCAGATGCTTTACGCTGGTGGGTCTTTCCGCGTGCAACAGAGCTCGGTCCATTGATAAAACTGAGCTATTCGGTGTGAATTTTGAAACTCTTCTTGTAATTCTTCTGTTGTTAATCGAAAATCAAGCTGCCGAAATGGTCCTTAGAATTTGTCGTAATTCATACGAAAACTTGTTAAAACTCAAAAGCAGTTGTATTCTTATGTTGTGTGAGTTAGACAATTTCTTTATCAGTTTTTTTGTTGATTGTTGACTAATATTTAGCAATCCAGATAATGAATCCACTGCAGCTCATAATAATGGAAAAAGTAATGAGAATTTGTACACAATAATCTTACTAACAGATACTCCACATAAAACATTAATTTGGATTAAAATTGAAATTTTATGTACCAAAATTCAAAGAAAACAAAATTGTTCCCCTTAAGTTGGTTTCAAGCCCTGAAACATTGTGTCCCACTTGATGATCTGATGATCTTCAACAGCAGTTGATGAAAATGACGATGATGACCAGTAATCAACATCAAGATGATCAAAACCTGTGGAGCGTAAAGACCCATTTGTAAGAACGCGAGACACATTGCCCGTCCGTTTGGCCTCCAGTTCTCTTGTCTTCATCCACTTGATCAACCCAGTCATCCTCCATTTCGAAGAGCTTTGAGACCCAAATGGCACGAGAGCAAGACCAGGGTTTTCCTCCCGGACGGGACAAACCAAATTCCTCCGAACGAACTCACAAACAGAGCTCTTGGAACGTTTGATCGCCCGAACGAGGCTTTTGGTCATGGAGTTTGGAAAAGTCTTTGGTGCCTCTTTCTTGGTGAGTTTGAGGATCTCTAGCCTGTGCTTGGCCACGGAAATGCCCATGCTTTGGAGGAATTCGTGGTCGAACCACGCTATGTCGTCTTCTTCGACCTCATTGTGGACGAAGGTGAGGCCATATCTGTACACGAGAGTTGGGTCTAAGGTTGTTTTTGATAGCCAAGAAAACCAATTCATGACGTGGTGTTTTTGGGAGTGAGTTTGGAATACTTGTTGAAGGAGGTGATGAAGTTTTCTAATTAAGTTAATAGTTATATAAAGCTGATCTGAAGAGATAGGTTTGTATGGGACTATGGGAGGGGACACTATAGTCACATGGGGTGTGCATGTGAGTGTTGTGTGTTATGTACATATAAATATAGTACTCTGTAGTCCGTATAATGCTTATTCAAAATGGATCAAAATGGATCTCTAAACTGTCTGTGCTTCTTTAATTAATGAAGTAGCAGTTAATCAAGCAATGCGACTTTCAACGTTGAGTCGGGGGTCTCTTTGGAAACAGCCTCTCTACTTTCGAGTAGGGGTAAGGTCTGCGTACACACACCCTCCCCAGACCCTACTCTTGTGGGATTTAACTGGGTTGTTGTTGTTGTTGTTGTAATCTTAAATTATTGTCACTTTTTATTTGTCAATATATTATCATCAATTCTCTTTGTAGTAGTTAGTATATATCCATTACAATATAGCTTGTCTATTTTAATTAGTCGTACTCCATGATATCAATGTAAATAATATTTTCTCGTTGCACCAGTTTTCTTATTAACCAATAAAGATAAAAAAAATAATTCTGAATGACTTAAAATAAACAAAAAAATAAAGACTATTACACATAAATATTTAAAAAAGGGTTCGTATATAGTACATCAGGATATATGACATTTTCCATACTATATCTTACATTCGACATATACACACTTAATATATAAATAACACAATACACATTTCTTACATTTATTTTTAACTAACTTTTAGAAAATGTCCTTTATTATTCCGTATAACATAAGGTTTTCACATAATTATTTTAACGTAAATAGGATTAAAAATATTAAACTTATACAAAAATAGGACCTTCTATGTTTTATATCCAAAAAAGAGCTTGACACTATACAATGACACAATTTTACATATATGTTGGAATTTCACACTGTTTTTTGGCATTATATATTGATATTTTTTTTGCTTTACAATTCCTATTTTGGTATAAATATATTCAAAGTCTTATTTGGTATATAGCTAGAGCATGTTTAATTTTAGGCTTAGGTAGATGAGTGGTTCATTGGTGCACCTTGGGTGCATACCATTTTTGTGGACCTTCTCACATGAAAACTCTATTTTTTTATTTTTTATATAAAAAACAGATGCTTATTTAAGTAATAAGGAAATACCTATTTTACTCATATGTAGATTCATGGTGGACTTTAGGTCCATCAAAGAATTTGCCTAGTTAGATACTTCGTCTCCTTTTCCATTGATAATTATGTTTAGAAATCATCCTAAATAGGACTAAAACATAGAGAAAAGTACCAAAATAGGACTTTCCTGTTTTTTTCCCGAAATAGGACTTTACATTGTGGTAATGTGACTTTGCATTGTGGTAATGTGGCAGTGTACATGTGCAAATTACTATACTTTCTTGGTAATGTATATGACCATGTTTGGTAATGTAAGTCCTATTTCGGGAATAAAAACATGAAAGTCCTATTTTGGTATATTTTTAATGTTTTAGTCATACTTTAGTCTTTCTCCCAATTATGTTTGTGAAATCATTATATTCAATTTCTTCCATGTTTAGGCTTATCGTGGAATAGTTTCCAAATATAAAAGACCATCGATATGTCTTCAAAGGATTTAGTGATTTACTGTAGAGTAGTTTCCAAATATAGAGGACCATCGGTATGTCTTCAAATTAAACAACTTATTGTGAATAGTTTCAAAAAATAGAGAACCAAGAATATATATAATACGTATGTAAATCTGATAACTATATAATGCTCTATAAAGGGTTTAGAAGAATGCAAATTGATAATTCAATTCATGAGAGAATACACAAATTTATACAGAAGCTCCGTTAGAAGAGTCTGGAGCTGATCCTAAACTATAGCACATCAGTTCCCATACTTTAGCTACTGGATTGGTAGTTATAGGGATATACACAAGAATATATTCAAATAATACATTTAAATATTAATAGCTAATTATCCTTGATATGCTCATCACATTTATAAATGGAATGAATGAGTATGCAACATATGCACATTTACAAGTATCAAATACTCATTTCACACTTTTATTTTCTTTATATTTAAAAAATGTAGTACATATTCAAAAAATGTTAGTACATATTCAAAAAATGTACATTAAACAAAATATATGTATGTTTATTTGAAAATTACATAATGCTTATGATGTTTATATAGAGAATGTACAGTGATCCTTTTCTTTGACGTTAATCGTTTGCAAGTAACACAATATTTTTTTCTACTAAAAAAGGTAGATATACAAGTAAAAAATGCAAAATAAGTATTTAGTTAGTTGTAAATTAAATGGTTGCAAATATATGAAATATACTGCACATCTAGTTGTACGATATACTCTCTTCGTCTCAAAATGTTTGCCACATTACGTAAAACGAAGTAAAATTTAAAGTTTTTTTATTTTGTTTTATTTAAATGTTGGTATTGGAATAATAAATAAAGTTATATATTCAAAAGCTATATCAAAAGTTTTTTCAAAACGAGAAGCGACGAGAACATTTTAATTTATTAAATAATCAATGCAAACGTTAAAATAAACAAAGTTAGTTCTAGTGATTTTTAAATGGTGACTTGTGACATTCTTTTTGATATATTGCCAAGGGTTTGCTTCTAAAGTCTTAACTACTCTTGACATGAGATCCCAAGCGGATGCGTAGAGGTGATACTTGATAGAGCCCATTATTAGGGAGAGGAATGAAGTCAAACTTGAAAGCAATAAACAACAACAAATATAGAAATGGGAGATTACATTATTGTAGAATGTACTCCCTCCGTTCTATAAAAGTGTTCCTATTTTGACTTTGTGTAAAAATAAGGAAGTGTTAAATTGTAGTTGACTTCCAATTTTGCCCTTGATATGATGGGTAAAAGTAAGATATGATGGATTGAGTATTAGAGAAAAAATATGATGTGATAGGTATGGTATGAAAAAATAAGGGTAAAAGTGGTTTTTAATAAAAAGTGGAAGTGTTTTATTGGAATTAAAAAAATGAAAGAGGAAGAGTTTTTGAGAAGGGAGGGAGTAGAAAATTAGGAATGGTTCCGTGGTTGGTATTAGCTACTAGCTTAGTATATAGCATGTGATTTGCTTGACTAGCAGCAGCTCTTGCTTTGTGTCTTTTTCAAGACTTATTATGCTTTTAGCTAAAATTGGATGGTTGAATGGGTGAGATTCATCTCATTCATTGTCTGACTTACAATGTTTAACAAAAATTATATTTAACTCAATTTATTTTAAAGTTGGTGTGCATTTAAAAATAAAATAACATTCTATTAAAAACTAAATAAAAAAATATACAAACTAAGTTATGACATGACTAGTTTTTTTTATCAAATGAGTAATGAAAACAGACAATAAAATAAAAGAAGTTTGATCATGTAATTAGTAATCATGAAATAATTTATTCTACGAAGATGTTAGTATATTTTTAAAAGAAACTAGACTCGTACCCGTGCGATGCACGGGCTATTAACTGACATATAACTACTCAATGTTTTGAATAAGGAAAAATGTTACAAAAACTTGAAAGATTATATAAATTGAAAAAATAAAAAAAGAAGGGGAGTTTTGAAAGTGTATAAGTTTAGGAACACTTCTTTATATACTAATTAATAGTTTTGTTACATGAAGAAAGGTCTTTATTGCAAATCAAAATCTTTAATACTTTTCGTGCATTGAACGATAAGAATATTTAACTATTACTTTAAAGAAACAATGAATAAGTTTTACTCCATATGATATAAATAAATTGGAATCAAATAATCTGGATGAGAAATTAAAAAATGAATTTATATGTAACTAATAGGAAGACTCCTAATATTATTTAGTTTCCTTATTCTTGTATTACCATAGTTACTTTATTCCTTTCCTACTAGGAATAGGACTCTCTCTTGTAATCCCTATATATAGGAACATATCTCTCAATATTCAATAAGACAAATTATTATCAAATTGTATCATGGTATCGGAGCATAGGTTTAAACCCTAGCCCTTTTTTTTCGAGACTGTGCCTTCACCGCCGGTCTCCTTCCTCTCGCCGGTCGACCATAAACGGCAACCATGGCTCAATCTTCAGATCCGCTTGCTTCGCTTCTTTCTGGTGTCAAGCTTCTTCTCCGCAATCTCCATAATCTTATCCCAGAGAAGCTCACCGATTCAAATTATCCTGCATGGTCTCTCAATGTCAAAACTGCTCTCGAGGCCAACCTTCTTCTTGGTTGGATCGATGGTCATGAAGCTGCGCCTCCAAAAATCCTATCCAAGGATGGCAAGGAAAACCCTAACCCAAAATTCCAAACATGGATTGTGATTGATACTCAGATCCGTGCATGCCTTCTTGCCGTCATCAGTCCGTCTGTTCACAAGCATGTCCGCAACTTCACCACATCTGCCGATCTATGGAACGCTCTCGCTGCCCAGTATAATTCTGTTTCTACCGCTCACATCTATCAACTACGGGACAAACTTCACACACTCCGAAAAGGTACAAAAACTATCACCCAGTACCTTGATGAAGTTGCCACTATCCTCACTGATTTGGATGCTCTCAACGAGGTTATTCCTGAGAGAGATGTGGTGAATGCTGTTATCCGAGGCCTCCCTCATGAATATTCCTCCTTCAAGCAAAATATACGGATGAACAATGAGAATATAAGTCTCAATCAACTCTCTGGGTGGCTAACCTCTGAAGAAATAAATCTTGAAATCGAGCAAAAATTGCGTATTGCAGATTCCGCCTCCGGAGTTTCTCACTCTGCACTGTATACAAACAGCGGTCGAGGCCGCGGTCGAGGAGGACCGAACGGTCGACCGTTTTCTGGGCAAGGATCTGGATCCGGTCGCAGCGGTCGAAGCTACGGAAGGGGGGGAGGCCGCGGACCTTCACGCGATCTTCCAGTATGTCAGATCTGTTCAAAGCGTGGCCACTCTGCTGCTACCTGCTGGTACCGCTATGATGATTCTTCTACTGAGAGCAACTCGGCTACCAATTCTCGTGTTATGCATGCAACCACAAGCAACCAAACTGGTGATTGGTACCTTGATACAGGTGCTAATACTCATGTTACGCATGATCTTTCACAGCTGCAAACTCCGACTCCCTACCATGGGACTGAAACTATTACTGTAGGTAATGGTCATACTTTACCCATCACTCACACAGGTTCAGGCTCAATTCACACCCCGAATGGTAAATTTCACCTCCACTCCCTTAATCATGTTCCCTCCCTTACTTCAAACTTACTGTCCATTCACCGCTTTACCAAAGATAATAATTGCACTCTTGTTTTTAATGTTAACTCCTTTCAGATAGTGGACAACGATACGAATCTGGTGCGGTACACAGGCCCCTGTGAGCATGGTCTCTATACCCTTCCTTCCAAGCCTATCCCTGTTGTGCGTCAAGCTGTCACTGCATCCACCTGGCATCGCCGGCTTGGACATCCGGCTCCTGTTGTTGCCAAGTCTATTTTGTCTACTTTAGGGTTTAAATTTTCTGATCACTTACATTGTGAGTCCTGTCATGTGTCTAAGTCTTGTCGTTTATCCTTCGAACTCTCTGAACATAAGGCCACAACGCCTTTTCAACTAATTCATTCTGATGTTTGGGGACCAACCTCTGTTCCATCTATCTCTGGTTTTCGTTTCTATATCTGCTTTGTTGATGATTTTAGTAAATTTACTTGGATTTATCCTCTTAAACACAAATCTGAAGCTTACTCTGTTTTCACTAGTTTTGAAAAAATGGTTAAAACTCAATTTAATTCAAATATTCAGATTTTTAGAAGTGATAATGGGAAAGAATTTGTAAATACAGCCTTTGGCATTTTTCTTCAAAATCTTGGGATTCTGCATCACACGTCCTGCCCTTACACTCCTGAACAGAATGGTGTGGCTGAACGCAAGCATCG